CATGGATAATTGCACAATGTTTATCTTGGGATGGTTTAAATGATAACATCTTATCTATACACTAGATGTTGTTGACGATTCTAGCATAACGGGTGATAAGCTTCTGTCACAAACAATGTTCATTGTCATGCAGCATTGACAGTCAAGACATCGTCGGAGATACAGGGTCATAACTTTGTGCAACTTTTATTTAAACCGTTTATTTTCAATATTCAATATTCTATTTTACTAACACCATATTACTAATGCAATGATGAGAAAAAGAAAAGACACCGATGACAGACGAGGCGAAGAGAAACCTGCGACTCACTGCAGTGACGCAGGGTCATATTATAACCAACCTCGTGAGTGGTTCAAAAAGGACGATGAAGTTGAACTATACACATCCACCCAAAAAATGGTTTCAACTACTTACTGATGACGACATTGATACATCAGACAAGGAAGCACCTACAATTCATTTACAGAGCTTTACGACTTGTCTTTTACAAAATACTAGTAATATAAATAAAGTTGATTGCCTAGATCCAGTTTGACCCGTTAGTACTAGCTTTGTTTAGAGTGTGAAAGTAATGAACGTAGTCATAACAAATTATACTTGCTAATGATGAAGAAAGAACGTAACATCAATATAGATACCCGGTAGTCAAAAACTGTAATCTTCATAATAATTTTGCATAACGAACTTGGTAATTGTTCTGCTATCCGTGAGAACTGAGTGATACTTGCCCAGCATCTTGTATTTCTTCCACCAATAATTCACGATCAGTAATTAAAAAGGAACTGTTTTCTCGTGATCAGAGAAACTTGAACAATTGGCTTGTTAGTTTCCGTTCGGATGGTAGTCCGAAACGGGAAGTAGTGTTTTTGGTTCTGTGTGTGTGTGCGTGCGTGTGTGTGTACGTGTGCGGTCATATTTCAGACATGCTTTGATGGATTCTTTTCAAAGTTGGTACACATACATGTCATAAAGGTATACATATGCACATGAATTTGTTTTGTGATTAGATCAATTTTGACCGTTTGGCAGCTATTTTAGACCCCAAAATGTGCAGATTCTGATTAAGATTACATGCATCTAATACAAAGTTGTTTTTATGTTGTTAAATTAATGTCAAAATAGTTCTATTATTATGTTGGTTTGTCAGAATGTTACCTTTATTTGTGTTTTGTTTGATATCTTGATTTGAAAATGATTGCAATAAAGATTATCAATATTTTGACCACATACCTGGAACCTGCCTTTCCCCTACATTGTATTATCGTTCAGGCAATGTGTTCCAGTGTTGCATCTTGAGGGAAGATTCGCTTAAGTGAGGTACATGTAAATGGTAACACACCTCGTGTCGGGTCCTTGTTTATGGATGCCTGTTGTCACTATGTATTTAGACTTCGAATTTTTCATTGTACACCAAATGAAGTTTGTAATAAAAACACTAACAACTTTTATCTGTGTGAATTTATGCAACTTTATTTGTACAGTAAGAGAATGATTCTGTGGCCAAGTGATGATATAGAAGGCATTGCTGGTCCGTCCTACTTCAAACTGTGAAATAACAGGTCAATATAAATTAGTGATTGCAGGTTATGCTCCATCGTCCGCCTGCATGGTGTTGCTCCGTTCGAACATTCCTCCCTCCACAACACCGTGCGGTAATTCTATTCATAACCGTGTATGTCACGTGGTTGCGCGATAGAAAGTTTACCGACCAATAGAAAGCTTTGTTACAATGACTACCAAAAAGTGTTTGGGGCTTTGCATTTCTGATGTCTTCATCTTCGGCTTCATTTCTGCCAATATATGTTGCAGTGACACCATGAGCTTTGAGGTATAACACCTACTCTATATATTCTATAATACTCAACAGGCTGGTAAAGCATAATAACATAATGATTTACCATTTCCAGTGCGACTTAGTACCCTGAACGGCTTTTGTCCGAATATTGTATTGCCTCGACATCCAAGCCAACACAGCTTCCACTGTGCGAGCATTTTCACCGCCTGGCAACCATCATGGTGAAAACAAAGGCCAACAACTCTCAGAAAACGGTACTTTGGGATGGTTGTTGACACCCCCTGAACCGTGTAACAAGATTACCCTGCATATGCAACATGTTTAAATTTGGTTGTTTTGGATTTCTTTAAAGTTATGTTTATGCTGTTTTTTCGATTTTAGCTATTTTCAACGGCTTTTCGACCGGCGTTCCACAGCAGCTC